CCCCCAAGATCGACCCTGCCGCTGCTTTGCCACCGTTTCGACCAAAGCTACCGGTCCCGCATTTTTCAAAGAAACTGCCACCCCCCCCAAAGTGTCATGCCTGCACCTGCCTGCATTTTTCGAACCTTCCAACGACCAAACGAGCCCGAATCACCGACTGGTATAGCGAAGGACCACAAAAATGTCTGGGGGAAAAATGTCTCAGGGGGGCAAAACGCACCCCTGACGGGCTGCGAACATGTTAATCTTTCACGTGGCTAACGACATATTTTTTGTTCCGTGCGGGTCTGCAGTTCCCTGCGGGTGAACTCATTGATTGAGGACTAGAACCTCTTGAGATACCATCATTTGAAATGACCCGCCGTACCTTCTTCCCCCGAATACAACGTACAGTCATTATAGCTGTATTTAGACTGAAAGATAACCAATTCAGGTATAATGACCGTACTTTCCGGGGAAGACTGCAGGTTAATCAGAATTGCAGTAGGTTATTCAGAATTGCAGTCCCCCCATCGGGGGTTCCCTGGTAGGTTATTCAGAATTGCAGTAGGTTATTCAGAATTGCAGTCCCCCCATCGGGGGTTCCCTCGAGGCAATAAGGCCACCGGTGTCAGATTAGACACAAGATTGAATTTACCTGGGCTGGTAGGTCCCCTATGAGAATACCTCAAGGCCATCACCCTTGAAAAAAAGAAAGAAAAAAAAAAAAAGAACGAAAAAAAAAAAAGAACGAAAAAAAAAGAAAGGAAAAGAAAAAAGAATTGTTCCTCAAGGGCATCCTCTACCCTCGAGTGGAGTTCGAACTCAGGTCCTTATTTCAACAGTTCAGGGCCGAGGTCCCACTAGCAAAAAGGATAGGATCGAGCTCCTGAATCTGGATGTGCTTTAAGCACAGATGCAGAAAAGCAGTTCAATCTTGATTTCCTGCACATCTCCATAAACTCGTCCAGATTCAGGCATTCGATCCGATCCTCCTTGCTAGTGGGACCACGCCCCAGGTGTACCAACTGCGGTACTCACACTGGGACTTTTTTACTGAGTTTTTGACGTAATTGCGGCCAGATACATCCACGTCTGGCTGTAAATGCAGTCAGACACATTTACAATGGTGCTACCGGTAGTGTGAGTACGGCCTGAGCTACCTTCTTCCCCCGAACATAACGCACGGTCATTATAGCTGTATTTGTGGCATGTTTCAGTCTAGATACAGCTATAAGGACCGTACGTTGTATTCGGGGGAAGAAGGTAGGCGAGTTGGTGATGGCAACGACACCGTATTGCTGGAAGCTGGGTCCAGCGTCCCATTGCTGGAAGCTGGGTCGCGCGACATTCCCATAAAAACAACAAAAAAGTAAAAAAAAAAGAATAAAATAAATAAGAAAAGTGCCGTGCGCAGAAAGAGAAGCCGCGGGTGAAATTGAGAGAAAAAACATAGCTTTAAAAAAAACGGAAAAAAAAAGAAAAAACGGAACACTGAAATGACGAAAAAGAGTTTCAAAACGAAAGAAATACTACTAAGTTCATAAACAAAGAAAGGGAAAATCGAAGAACATAACAGAATTGATAATACTCCGCGTGCCGAAAAGAAAAACATCTTATTCATATGCTTCCTCCGTGCCAAATTTTGCTCCTCTCAATTGGATAAAGAGGGCAGGGAGGCACGCTACACATAAAATCTATCTTTAGCTTTGAATGTACAAACAAATCCCCACAAATATGGGTTGAGATCCTGTTTGTTGCGCTACATGGCACGTCAGTACATAAGAATGTACAACTGCTCCTGTCTCTTATACACATCTAGATGTGTATAAGAGACAGCCCCCCACCCCTCCGAAATGCGGTGCGGTCGACTGTACAGACTGTGGGTCCAAAGTTCTAAGCCCCTGACAAGAACAGCCAGCAGTAAGTTTTTTTTTCCGAAAAAAACGAGTGTGTGTGTCTACGGACCGCTCCAAAGCCTCAATTAAAAAAAAAAAAAAAAAAAAAAAACCTCTGCGTATGTCTACGGATACCGGCAGATGCATCGAGCGAAGTACGAGTATGTGCCCTGAGTTGGCAACACCGCTACTAGTTCTCTGCGTGTGCTCCCAAACACAACACCTGGTCATTATGACTGCATCTAGGCAGGAACCCAACTCATATACATTCATAATTCATAATGGTTGTGATTTTCTCAGGGCTGTGGGGGAGCAGGTGGGGAGAGAGGGGGATGAAAGGAGGGTCCTCTTTGCGTCCTCCTCCATTCTGCCTATCACCTTGCGATGTGTCTCTCCTCCTCCCTGTTTTCGCTCCCCTCTTCTTTCCTCATCCATCGGCTTGTTA